GATAATTAAACATTAAAATATCCACGTGTCGGAGATTTCATGACATTCTACCCAAAGATAGCAATCCATGTTGCAGGAATCAAGCTAATAAGTAGAAGGTAGAAGTAAATTTGAGAGCGTAAACTCGTAAATAGTTTCCATAATGAGCGCAATGAGCAAACACGCAGGCATGAAGATAAATATAAACCAACTTGAAAATGATTATTATAATATAAACGTTATAAACCTTAAAAGCAGAGCGTAAATATTAGTAAATCTAAACGAACAGAAGCATTTAATGTTGCGATATTCAACTTGAAGATGCTTCTTCATTTTATAAATAGGTACTCGTACATATAAAGTGAATTAGCGAGTGTGTTTGTGTTGACAATGAAATACTTTTAGGTAAGTGTTGGATGTAATATGTTATTAGCGGAGCAAATCGAACATTGACCGAAGAATTGAATAACACGAAGTGGGTTCGATTCGAGGAGCAAATTAGGAGGCAAACTTGAGACTAGGAAAAGTTTTTCTAAGTTATTCATCGTTGATTGTCAGGTCGGTTTCAACTTCAACTCGGATTTCAGTTGATCATCGATCATTGTCAGTGTAATGAATGATTGTAGTTGAAGATGAATAAGTAAAAAATAGGTTTTTGCATTGTAGTAAAGCATACAGTTAGTTATTGGCTAATTGCGCAAAAACTTATGAAGTTATTTTGTTAATTTCTTTTGAAACACATTCAGGATTAAATTTTGTATCTAATTATTTATATTTTTGAATAGAAATAGTTTTAGACCGAAGATTATTAACTAATTTATGTCAAATTCAAAAAATTCTCAAAAATAAAATTTTTCAGTTTTTAATTGTTTATAACAAACAAAATAAATATGTTATAAATAAAATACTTATGTACATAAGCGTAGAATTTAATTGTCATTCAGTTTTTGAAAGAATCACTATTTTATTGCAAATACTTTTGGAGTAATTAATAAATAACTGAAGTAGTGTCTTAAAATTGTATGAAATTGAATTAATTACAATAGTTTTTTATTAATTATTCAAAAACCAATCAAAAAAAAATAAATTATGTTTTCAAAAATGTATTTATCATTAATTTTGGAATCTATCTACGAAAAAAACATAGTGATATTTCTTTTCAATCCGAAGTTATAAACAAATATTTATCACTTTCAAAATTTTTCAAACTCAAACTTCAATTAATTATTTATTTTCCTGTGTAAATTCAAAAGTATATCTAAAGATATTCCCTACCATAATACCCAAGAATAATTAAATTATTATTACTACCATACTACTATGATAATCATGATGATATTATATTCCTCATTCTCTTTCGGATTAACATTCGGTTTCGCGTCTAGATTCGCGCACTCACATTCACACATTAACACAACACAACCATCCAGTATCCAGTTAGCAATCCACCGACCAGAAGAAGCGGTAGAACAAAAAAAAAAAACAACAAGATCTCATTATATGATGCTTAAATACCCGATATGCTTCAACGCTCTACTGCTTCCACTCCTTTACAATCCAAACCCGCACTAAACACACACTCATATTTTTTCTCTCTCGATTTAATTGTTGGTTTTCATTCGGATTTGAAATTACGTTAACTAAGTTAAGCAAAACGCACGCCAGCTGAATTAATATGCATGCTGTGTAGTTTCTCTTGTAAATATGATGCGCACGGATTAATTGCACAAGATTCAAATCGCTTAAGATCGAAATTTGTTTGTGTTACGCGCGAGAAATTAGTGCAAGTGCTTAAAATTGATTGAAAGTTAGATAAACACTCATTAATTATACTCAACTATCAGTCATAACAAAATGTTACCACATTGAACGTTTCCTTCTTATATTTGAATTGATAACCTTTTAAAATAAATAAATAATTAAATAACCCCTGAGATATCTTATCAGTGTCGTTTCGAAGTCAGAGACCCTTTCGATAATTTCAAGTTCCATCGAAATTTATGACTACTGCTTATCAATTGAATTCATTTTCTGATGGTCATTTTTTATTTTATCAACTAGGAACTACTACTCCCAACTGTCAACTGACATTGTTATCGCTGCATTTGCTGATGGTTGGATCAACTGCATTAGTTGTGGCTTTCAATCGAGTTTTGTCTGATGCGTGCTGCGGTGTCTGGCTGTGTGTGTGGCGCAGTGTGATCGGCAGTCCGGGACGATTTAATTACATAATGGAGGCGGCATAAATTGCATGCGGTCCAATCGGGTTCGATTCATCGGATATAATGTTATCAGCGTGCGCTATTGTAATTACCGAATCACGGGGTTTATCTTTTCATCTTCATATATTTTCGTATATCCGGTACAATACTTATTATATAAATCAATACCAGGTGGTAAAATATTACATTTTAAAATTTTTCAAGGTAAAAATGAGAAATTTGCTTTTTTCGTTCCAATTTTTAATTTTTGAACATTGTTCGTCTAATATAAAGTTCAAAATTTAAAAATTTTGCGACACAATTCGGAAAACAACGTGAAATAAAATTTTGCTCTTTTGCACATGCGCAAGTGATTTTCCCTATTAAGCCGTAAGTAACGCTAGTTTTACTTTTACTATATAGTCTACAAATTTTAAAAAAATGTATCACAACACCCTAAAAATACAAATTCAAATTTTATTGTTCTTTTGCGCATGCGCAAGACTCTTCTTACGCAAGTCAAATGTGATACTAGTCCTATTACTAATCCGAAGTCAAAATTTAAAAAAACTGTATCTCAACCTAATAAAAAATACTACATCTCTGTTGCGCATGCGTTAATGACTTAACGCTTCAGATTTACGTGGCCCTAATCTCATCATTTTTTTTCCCTACTACCAGAACATCTATATATATAAAATTTGCGTGTCACAGTGTTTGTTTCCATACTCCTCCGAAACGGCTTTACCGATTTTTACCAAATTTTATATGCGAATTCAGTAGGTCTGAGAATCGGCTAACATGACTGTTTTTGCAGGAAACGTCCGTTATTTATTTATTTGTGTGGCGGCGAATCGACTCGCCGGAAAAAGACTTCGAGAAGAAACGATTCAATACGAATCGACGGGAACGAAACGACGTATACCCATGTAGTGAATATACATACTACATGTAAATTTCGAGATTCGAGCGGTTTTATGCATTTTTCGTTAATTGTCTGTGAGCAGTCCAGTTATAATACATACATTAACAAAGCATCATGTCAGAGAATGTCGATTGTCCAAATATGTTTCCGAGCAGGAAAAACTTGTCACAAACAAGGTACAATTCAATATTTAATAAGAATTTACATAAACTAAAAAAGCATAACCTACATCTCTAGTTAGCGACGGTTAACATTGATCAAAATGCTCAACCTAGCACTGGTGCGTCTGGGCATAAACCGAAATTGGGCAATGATGAAGAACAGTTCAGCCCGGCTGAAGTGAGCCTCCTACAAAAAATTATTCGTAATGGACTGGTAGAAAACAAGAATGACTTAGAAGTTCAGAGAAGAGATCCAACATCTCCATTATATTCAGTCAAAAACTTTGAAGCACTTAACTTGTAGAGTTAAACTAATATAAAATCAGGTATCCTAATTCATTAATTTGTAATAGACGCCAAGAATTATTAAAGGTGTATATGGTATGGGATTCAATGCTCGTCCAAAATCAAGCAGCACTCCCAACACTACTAGCTGAGCCGCCACAAAACTTAATTGCTCAGTCTCAATCTGGCACTGGCAAAACAGCAGCATTTGTCTTGGCAATGTTGAGTAGAGTCAATCCAAATGATAAATATCCTCAAGTGTTATGTCTCTCTCCAACGTATGAGCTTGCAATACAAACTGGGGAAGTTGCAGCCAAGATGGGAAAATTCTGTCCTGATATTGAGCTGCGTTATGCCGTTAGGGGTGAGGAACTCGCTCGAGGTTCACGAGTTGAAGAACAAGTCATCATTGGCACTCCCGGAAAGGTCCTAGATTGGGCAACTAAACTGAAAGTATTTGATTTGCGAAAATACGAGTGTTTGTGTGCTTGATGAAGCTGATGTCATGATTGCAACACAAGGACATCAGGATCAGTGTATTCGAATTCACAAGTAAATAATTAATTCACGGTTTCAACTCAGTAAAATAATTAATTTTTATTTTATAGAAATATTAATAAGGATATTTGCCAAATGATGTTCTTCTCTGCCACCTACGATCAAGAAGTAATGGAATTCGCGGAAGTCATCGTAACTAACCCGGTCATTATCCGTCTAAAACGCGAGGAAGAAAGCCTGGATAATATTAAGCAATATTATGTTAAGTGTGCAAACGAGCAGCAGAAATATAACGCAGTGATAAATATCTACGGCACGGTGGGTGCTGGTCAGGTGATTATCTTTTGCCACACGCGTAGAACGGCCACCTGGCTTTCCGAGAAGATGTCTAAGGAAGGTCATGCTGTCGCGTTGTTAACTGGTGATCAGACTGTCGAACAACGTATTAGCGTTTTGGATCGTTACAGAAATGGCCAAGAAAAGGTTCTCATAACAACGAATGTTCTCTCTAGAGGTAAAAATTTCGAAACTTGAAAAATTTTTCATACTATATCACTTAATATGTCGTCAATCATTATTACAGGCATTGATGTTGAACAAGTAACAATCGTGGTGAACTTCGACTTACCTGTGGACGTTAGAGGGCAAGCAGATTGTGAAACATATCTACACAGAATCGGTCGCACTGGTCGCTTCGGTAAGCATGGGATTGCTATTAATCTCGTTGATGGCCCTAATACTGAAGCTATATGTCGTGCCATCGAGACACATTTCAATAAGAAAATTCAATTCTTAAACGCCGAGGATGCCGATGAAATCGACAAAATTGGTGCTTAAGGTGCGTTTATACAAATTTTTTTTAAATAATGGAATATTTTGTTTTTTGTATTTCATGGATTGCTCTTGCGTATATGTGGGTACGCTTTATAGGTTCTTTTTATAAAACACATGTTAAAGTAAATATTTATTTTTAGTGTGTGTGTTTTCTGTATTGAGCATTATGCGATAACACAACCTTAATATTACCAAAAATCTGACGAATTAGTTGCAACTAGTGATGAAATTGTCAACAATTCAAGTTTAGACTCCATAATGTTCGTCGTGCGTACAAAAACTACATTGTTTATAAAAGTGTATAAAGCTAAGCTCAATCCCCTAATTATTAACGAAAGAAAAAAAAAACCGCAAAAGAAAGAAAACCTGACAGACATCACGGGCCATACTCCCATCACCTTGAGGAAATCTAAGGTGACAAAATGAAACAGAAAGGCAACATTCGTCCAAATGCAAGAGGTAGTAAGACGATTTGCTTTGCGCAACTAGCGGCTGATTAAATCTCCTGTTAAAACTGCAATGATTTGGCGAAGAGCGCTGCTGTGGCCTTCGTTTTGTCGCCATCGAAACGCCTGAGTTCCTCAACAACCTGTTCGCGAGGAAAACCCATCGTCATAAGGTCGGCAACGTCATTTTCCGAGATTGGTGCGGCAGATGTTACTGGAGTTGCTATCGCGCTTGATCCTGCCCCGTCATCTAAAAATATATCGTTTATACATCACTAAGTAAAAAAAAAAAAGACAAGGCAGAAGACTGCTGAGGAATTGTTATTTTTGTGGAATCATGGAGTAGGATAAGAAGTAGTTCGTCTATGGATTTCAAACGTCAGTGGCGTTTTCTTTCTGATGATCGGTTTCGGGGCGAGCTTTCTTTGCGCTTGGAATTGCGCACCGCTTCTATAAGCAAACCTTGTTTTAACAAAACCCTGAGTGATACGTACTTTCTCTGATACTCTGTTTGATTGCTTTTTGCAGGTCTAATTCTTCCGCAGTCTTACGTGATTCTTTCATAATCTCATCCTCTGAGTTCGAACTGAGTCGAGCGCACTCTGGCAGTTCCGCTTCCGACAAGAACTTTGTTTCTGTACCCGTTGTTCCTATCCTTAGTACATTTGTCTTGAGATCTATTGAACACTAAAAAAAATACGTTCTGATTGGTATATTATTAAAGTAAGAATAACAATCATTACTTGATGTCTTTTAAGCATATCAAGCCCTAATAACATATCCATCGGTTGTTCTTCTAGCACCGAAAAACTAGTGGTCAGATAGTCTTTTTCGATTTGAATTTGCACCATGTGAATACGGCCGATTATACGTTGTACGCCAACGCCTTTTGCAATACCGGCCCATCGGGTGTCAACAAGTCGCATAATGTTGCATCGTTCAGCGCATGAACTAGACATAATCGTAGTCTGTGCACCTATAATACAACGGCTTTGTATAAAGTTTAATTTCCTACTCTTTTTTATATACCTGAATCAATGAATGCTTTGACAGGATGCCCATTCACACGACAATGAATGTACAACATTACAACTGTACCGAATGACTCCGGATTGTACTCCATCGCTGCCTCCATGTTGGCTTCAATATTCTTCTGACGAATTTCTTCTGCAATTAGCCGTTGCGCCTCTGTGTCGAAGGGGTGTGCATTTAGTAAACGTAGACGTTGCCTTTCCCGTTCCTGTCGCGCGGCTACTTGCTCCTTTAGGACGTTTGCAAACAATTCTAACATGAAAATAAGACTAGTGACTTCAGGAACATCTACAATTGGGATAATTTACCAAGATTTCCAGATAGTAAAGCATCTGCAAGCCTGGGATTATTCTGTTTGAGCAAAGCCATCTGATCTGGATTCGCCAAAAACATATCCCTAATCATAACAGGATCATCTTCATTGGCGGTTCTGCCAGCTAGAGAAACCACTGGTGGCGTTGATGGCGCTGGTGGAACTGCACGATTGTTTCTCATAAAGTTGGGCACTTGTATTGCACTGAAGTCTAAATTAGGTGCTGTTTATAAAAACATGTGCATATAAACCAAATGCTACCCAAAAAGATGATATTGCAGTTGTTGTTACAAATTGTAACTGGAATATCTTTAATTTTCGAATTTGAATACCTTGTAATTCAGTCTGTGAGGCTGGTTGTTGTAACATGTGTTGTAAGATGACCGCGTCGCCATCCTTGATGCCATGGTCCCTCAGCGTCATCTTATTATCCATCAAGGGACGGCCATTGAAGGCGATGACGATTTCCGACGAAGGAAAACCGCTTTCTACCTCGCAGAAAGCTTTGAAGTTCTCTAGCTCCAAGTCGTCGGCAACGTCCAAGACGAATATGTAATCCGTTAGTGTCGTGACGGTCACTTTCATTGTCGCTTTGTTATGTTGGGCACCAAAACACTCGATAAAGATGCTCTCAAGAACACAATTTTCAAAAGAAACACGGGGAAGGATTCTTTTCGTGTTGGTCTCGCACGGCGCAGACTTACTTCTAATAAAACATTTCCGTTTTTACGTGAAATTTTCGGCTCGAAATAACCTAGAAGCAACAATCACAACACAGCTCAGCAGAAATGTCAAGCGGTGAATGATGACAGGATCTGCCATAAAGCTTGAACCGAAGCAAAAATATAAAACCGACGCGTGTGTAAACACGTATAACGTAAGTACACAGTGTACATAAAGTGGATGCGAATCTTTGGTGAAAACCAATGCGGCATCAATCTACCTAAACGCTTATGTGAGATCCGGATCGAAAAGGGATCTTTGAGATATATTGTATGGATAATAAAGAAGACTGTACCGATGATTGCCATTAATGCAAATATATACTTAGCTTAATTTAATCGTGCATACCCCAACTAAAAATTATGATTATTTTGTATCTAGGTATGCATCATGACTAGCAAAAATCAGTGCTGAAAATAAAAGTTGTTAGTAAACATTGAACGCACGACGTAGCCAAAAAAGAGACAAAAGTTTTTTTCTTCTATTAATATAACACACCAGGTGCTTGCAGCCATGTGCCACTTTTAAGGAATTGTTTTCAATATTTTGTTCATGTTTTATATTTGTAGTGCAATTCAACACCTTGATCCTCTTATTTGATCATTTAATGCACTGTTGCTTCAAAAGGACGCCAGCTTCAACGATGCAATAAATTAATCGAGATACATTGTTGCTACTGTTTTTTCGTATCTTATTACTCGATCAAATTATTTATCTATTGTAACTAGTATAAATAGCTTGATTACTGATTAATAACAGTTGCAAGCAACAACCAGGTACTTCTTAACGTCACGTAATATTCAAATCATAGTATTTTATTATGCATATTGAATAAGTATAACAAGTTAAACAACTTTTACCTCCCCACACGGCTTCCGTACGCTGAAACCAATTTATTTAAACAACTTGATAGGATTAACATTCATTCTCGAAAATTCTTCCGCCAATGATGGCGGTCAATATATTCAAAGTGCTTGTCATTTCAATTATATTCGGATTTGCAATTGGAAATCCACAAGAGCATCATGGACATCACGATCAGAAAGAAGAAAACAGTGTGCTAAAAGTAAGTATTTATACATTAAAAACAATCGAAAATCGCTCATTCATAACTGGTTATTTAAAGTAGGGAACTGTGCTTTGTTATATGTTACGCTTTTGACATATTCTATGCAGTTTGACGATATATTTTATTAACCGTTAACCTATTCGCAACGATGGCTTTTCAGCATGAAAAATCCAAATTGTTTTCTGCTGTTTTGGTAATTATAACCATTGGGCATAATAATGCATTGTTTGTATCATTTGAAACATGAATGAAAAACATGAAAACATGAATATGCTTAAATTTTACAAATGATCACGTTTTGCTTCGTTTTTTTTTTATTTGATTTCCTTTTAATATTCCGCTTTATAGACATTAAATAATTTTTTTCATTATTGTGTGCAGAAAATGCAAGCTGAAGGAATAGTTCCAGATGTTATTGACCATTTGCCCGCCTCTCAACTATCTGTGACTTTTGGGGAGCACAAAGTCGAGTTGGGTAACGAATTAACACCTACTCAAGTAAAGAATGCACCGACAGTGCAGTGGGAAGGGGAGAAAAACACTTATTACACGTTAGCGATGGTTGATCCTGATGCCCCAAGCAGGAAGGAACCAAAATTTAGGGAAGTTAATCATTGGTTGGTTGTGAACATTGAAGGATCTAAACTTGCTGAAGGCGAGGTTATTACAGCTTACTTGGGTTCCGGGCCTCCAAAAGGTACAGAGAAACATCGATATGTCTTTCTACTATTCAAGCAACCCAAGAAGCTGATTTTTGATCATCCAAAGACTGGCCCCCTTTCAAGAGAACATCGTTTGAACTTTAACATTCGAAAATTCGCCGTGAAGTACGAGCTGGGAACGCCAATCGCTGGGAACTTTTATCAGGCTGAATGGGATACCTATGTTGACGAACGTAACAAGAAGATTATAAGTTAAATATAGATTATGATCTCTTTTATAAAAGTTTGGAATTAATCATTTTTATCTAGAGAATACGTTGGCGTAATAGTTCTAAAATGAACCCAAAGTTGGCTTTTTTTTTTTAAATTAATGACAAAAACAATCTACTATTTAACATTTTGTTAATATTCTGACATTTGAAATACAGCTCTTTTAAACATGGATCGAGATTCGATTTCACCAGACGTAATTGATTCTGTTCCCAAAGAAATATTAGAAATTATCTATCCCAGTAAAGCGAAGGTGGACTTGGGTAACATTTTAACACCCACGCAGGTGAAAGATATTCCCACGGTAAATTGGAGTCTACGACGTAGCGTTGGCACTAGTGCACCCAATATAACCCCTTATTATACTCTGGTCATGGTTGATCCGGACGCGCCAAGTCGTCAAGACCCTAAGTTTCGGGAATGGCATCATTGGTTGGTTGTTAATATTCCTGGGAATGACGTCAATGACGGGGAGGTGTTGAGTGCATATATCGGAGCTGGACCACCGGAGGGAACCGATCTGCATCGTTATATCTTTTTATTGTACAAACAACAACAGAAAATAAAGTGCGACGAGCCTATTTTGGGGAATAATTCTGGAAAGAGGCGAGGTAATTTTAAGATACGCAATTTTGCACAGAAGTACTCTCTTGGGGAACCGATTGCAGGGAATTACTTTCGAGCTAAGTTCGATAATTACGTGCCGGAATTATACAAACAATTATCTGGGAAGTGACTATTTTGGTGTCACATATTTGTGTTTGTTTGGTGTACAAATTTATTAAAAATGTTATGTACGTATTGCAAGCGGCTATGAATTCATATTCATGTAATTTTTTTTAGTTTCTCAAATAATCTTAGCGCTAAACTACCGAATTAAAATAATTCCACAGTTGTAAATTAAAGAATACTTTACACGGATTATAAGTGAGTCTAAAATATACTGATTGGCACATGCTTATGCCCAAGAGTTGCCTTAATGTCGTGAATCGTACTGCGTGCAATTTTCACCTGACATGTGGTGCGAATAGAATGACACCTAAGTTTAAATTTCAAATTTATTTGTGTATGTAGTGACGACATCTCAACAACTGACGACATTGGGCAACTTCTGATTTGGCGCAATGCGATGAACGGCGCCGTTTAAGAGGTAAGGTCCGACCGAAACTGATTTTTTCGACCGAAACCGAAATGCGGCCGTGATTTCAGTTTCGGCTTTTACATATGGTTATGTTTTTGTAATGGAAATTAGTGTAAAACAAATTATATAGAAAATTATTATAAATATATTTGTTTGTAATAATAGTGGTGTAGTGCAACATTTAAAAAAAATACTTTAGAATAGTGAGCAGTTTTGATAACTAAATAAACGAAAGATCACAAACAAACAGTAAATAAATTGAATTCACAATAGTTTTATATTATAATCTATATATATAAAATTTGCGTGTCACAGTGTTTGTTTCCATACTCCTCCGAAACGGCTTTACCAATTTTTACCAAATTTTATATGCGTATTCAGTAGGTCTGAGAATCGGCTAACATCTATTTTTCATACCCCTAAGTGATAAGGGTTGTTCACCCTTAATTTTTTTTAAATTTTGGTCGAAATTTTTTGTTTTTATTTTTTTAATGTGGCATTAAAATATACATACAACCCTAAATTTTTGGTTTCTTATCACCAACCCCTATTTTTTATAATAAGTAAGTTACTTTTTGTCTACACTAAAATTTATCTAGAAACTTGAAATAATTTATATGGCAAAACAACGTTTGCCCGGTTAACTAGTAATATATAAAACTACCTATGATGACTTTTGTAGGTAGCAAGTAAGTTACAGATAATTACCCGCCGCCGATATTTACTCAGCTCACCTTCACCGGCATGTCATCATTGCACCGCATGACAAGCCCGTTCAAAAGGGCAAAAACTACCGCCCATACCTTCAAACTGTTCAAACTCCACTAATAGCCCCTCCCCACCTAACCCAACCATTACACGCATCCTCTTGTATACCATACAGACAGAATGAGTGAAGGTTGCGCCTGGCGTTCGAGGTATGAGCCTCTCTAGGTAAAAACGTAAAACCGGATGCGGTGCAAGAGAAATTCTAGCCCCGTCGAACAAAAACCCCAACATGTTGGCGCGTCGGCAAAAATCACCCTCAATACTGGTTCGAGGGTTGGTGCCAACAACCCGACAAAACTTGCACCTGGCAATGAATTATTCTACTACGCTTTCACACTAATACTAATACTATAAATCCCAATGCAAACGTGTCCGTATGCATGTCCACTGAAATACCACAATTTACAATTTTACACCGAAAAAAAAAACACCACTCCTACTGCAATAATTCAATCGGAATTAAGATTAAACAATGACGCGATAAGAATCAACACAGAAATGGCACGTTCGTAATATACCACAGAGAATAAAATTTAAAAAAACACATCGAGAAGTGCATGGTGTGCAACTTATGCATTGCCATTATTATTTCAAGGCTATCTTTGTTAACCTACTATTGTATATTGTATTAAATAACATTAATGGAGAAACAAACATTATGGCAGCAAAGTTGACCGACAATTCTTGCCGGTTCACCTCGTCTGGCTGATTAATAATGTGAATTTCAATTAGAAAGATGTTTGCAAGGATACAACTTAACTCCAATGACTAATCATTCATTAATGGTAAGAATTAACACAAAATTGCACAATTTTACACTTAAAACACCTTAAATCATTCTGAAACAATGGATTTTAATGTTTGATGCTACTTTCAATTGTTTTGTTTGTATAACTCAAGAATAACTTAGTTTAAGTAAAGTCAATGGACTGAATGAAGAGAAGTGGTAATATATGACATGGTTGAAAGTAATTTGCCTTTGCCTACCTTGAGTTGTAGGTGCGACGATGCAGACTGTAACGATGAAAACTCCCAATCCAAAACCAATCCGACGCACGAATGTTTCCATCTTTCCTGCAATGCCCATAGCCACACTAACAACACTCTGTTTGTTCCTCTTGTTCTTGTTCTTCATTGTCGCCGCTGGTGCGCCGAAGGAGTCATCACGAGCACCAAGATGTCCTCCCGACCTGCCGCGATAACAATTCTCGTGTTTTCTTCACCTATGCCAACATAACTATCACCAACCAACGATTGATAAACAATCAATTCACGCCCGAAACTATCTCGACGAGGACACCTGTGGATGCACCGTAAACCGTTACATTCTCATGTTTTGGATGCGGACTCGTTCGATAGAATTCACACCGCTGAAGAACGGTACACTGTTAAACTGATTTTCAAGTCTGGTAACACTTTATTTATGTGGATCTCTGCGATGTGAGAGGTGAATGCTTACGTATTTTGGGGATAACATGCACTTGCACCCGAATTTGACGAACACACACAGGAGACGCGCAACAACACAAACACGAGACGAGATGTGCGACCGTGCAACGCGGATTCGCATGTACAAACCGGTAGAAGCGCTAGAAGTTGAGAGCCGATCGGCCGACGGTTCGTAAAGTTGCCGCGCATGCGCAGCCAGGCCGCATTCCACGCGTATATTTTATTCTTACCACAATACATATAGCGCCATCTGGTATGAATAAGCTGTACTGTGTAATATCACGTAAATAATGCAATAACGTGAATAAATATTAAAAGATTACATATTGTAATAAATAATTTAGATTAAATCTACTGGTTTAATACGCTTTAATTAATTATTAAGTTTTGTAGAACACAGAAAGCGCAAAGTTTTAAATATTTGATAAAGGTAATTTTGTAATTAGAAATTTCGAATTAAATTTTAAAGTAAGTGAAATTATAATACAATTTCTGTGTTGTAAATGCTAAATAAACTTATTATCCTTTGCAAATCAAGAGAATTAAGCGTAATTTGATGTTATTACAATGATTATTCTGCAAATTTGCACAACAAATATAAAAATCTATAAAATCACGCATTGTGCAAAGAAATCAAACATTTTCGCTCGCAAAATGAACGAAAAAACAATTCTACTGCTATTTCTAGTTGCTGCAAGTATTAATGGGGAGTCTTTAATCATTTTTGAAGAAGGTGAACTTGTTTTGAGTCTTTTACGGACAAATCATTATGATTCTGTTTCAATGGTAACGTTTTACTCTTGTCGTTCGGCAGACAAAGGTAATTATTGCAATTTAACTCGTTTTAAACATATTCTAACAAATAAATTTACAGATATTACATCAATGATAAAAAGACTATCATTATATGGTATATCTACATTGATTTTGAAAGATTTTGATGGATTTTACATTGAATATAAAGCAGTTGAACATGCTTTAATCATTGTCGATGTTTCGTGTATTTTTACAGACTTTTTAATTGAGAAAGCGAATGAATATCAAATGTTTGGTGTACCTTATAAATGGTTACTACTTCATGATACTAATTTAACATCATTTGACGTTGAGGAAACATTTAAACACGCTGAAATTTTCGTTGACAGCGATGTGACTTTTGCACAAAAAGTTGGAAATGAAGAAAATGTTTTCGAATACAATTTGATGAAAATCTACAAAAGGAAATTACATTTAAATCTAATTTACGAAGAGTTTGGGTTGTTTACTAAAGGATTCTTTATTGCAAATGCTAAATTTCAAAGAATCACAGCAACTAGACGTCAAAATTTAGGAAATATCACTTTGAACAATTGTAATGTTGTCACACATAACGAAACTTATCGACATTTATTGGATAAAAGATTTAAACATATTGATACTATCACAAAAGTTAATTATGTGTTTATGCTACATTTAGCAGACATGTTAAACGTCACTATGAACTTTTCTTTCGTTGGTACCTGGGGTTATTTAAGTAATAATTCACAGTGGACTGGGATGATTGGAGAGTTGACAAGAAAACATGCGGATATTGGAGGTATAAACAATTATAAGTGTTTATAGAAATTGTTTAGTGTTATTTTTATTAAATTTAGGTACGCCGCTGTTTTTCACTAGTGATAGAGTGCCTATCATTGATTACATAGCAATGACGACGCCTACAAAGTCAAAGTTTGTCTTTCGACAGCCGAAACTTTCGTATATCACCAATGTTTACACTTTGCCGTTTAACACGGGGGTGTGGTTGGCTAGTATGGCAAGTGTGGTGATTACAGCAGCCGGGTTGTATGTGGGAGTTAAGTGGGAATGGTACAAACGCAGAAAATACGTAAGTTTACTTAAATTAAGTTTTTCTTAACAAATAATGAAAAAACTGTAAATATCCGGTGGCCATTTTGTAATATTTGTTAATATCTACCTGGAAAAACAAAAATGGCTTCTTTATGTCAAATTGTTTGAGAGTTACAGTAAATTTTAATTTTATGATGTTTAGGTTGCATATACAAATGTCTCAAACACAGATGAACTCCAAGATGATCCTGTGGACGTTGCTTTCGTAGCTTTTGCTGCAGTTTGTCAACAAGGTGCAAGTGCAATTCCCTTCAGCATAACCGGACGCATTATTACCATTTTAATGTACACGTCTTTAATGTTTCTGTATACTTCATATTCTGCTAATATTGTTGCCCTCTTACAATCGTCTTCTACATCAATTCAAACCTTGGAGGATTTGCTTAAAAGTCGTCTGCAGGTTGGAGTTGATGACACTGTATTCAACCAATTTTATTTTCCGGTAAATCATTGATTCCCTTTTTTAAAAATTAATTTCATTAGTGCAGTTTTAATTGTAATCTAAATAGAATGCTTCTGAACCTGTAAGAAGAGCAATATATCGCCAGAAAGTGGTACCACCTGGTCAGAAACCAAGATTTTTCCCAATTGAAGAAGGAGTTCGCAGATTGAGAGAAGGATTGTTTGCTTTTCATATGGAAACAGGAGCCGGGTATAAAATAGTGGGCGAAACTTTTTTGGAAGATGAAAAGTGTGGTTTGAAAGAGATACAGTTCCTGCAGGTGCCTGATCCTTTCTTGGCCGTTCAGAAAAACACGTCTTTTAAGGAAATTATTAAGATTGGGCAAGTATTAAATGTATTTTTAGTAATAATCCATTATTTTTTGTTTTAGTTTAAGGAAAATGCATGAAAGTGGTATTCAAAACCGTGAGGTCTCATTGCTCTACACCAAACGACCAATATGTATGTCCCGTGGTAGTTCGTTTATGGGTGTCGCCATCGTGGATTGTTATCCTGCTGCGTTGGTCTTTGTCGTTGGCATTATAATCGCCTTCGGCATTTTCATTCTGGAACTGTTTGCGCATCAATTTGCTCGCTGCGGTTATAGATTTGCTTTTCCGCGATTCAAGCAACAAATACCCACTTAAAACCGCAAATACCACGTAAACCCAACCTCAATGTGTGTGTGTGTCGTGTGTGAGGGTTATTTATTCACGAAAGCGGGAAACTAGATCGATTATATTCAATCAATTACACTCTTGTGGCTTTATCAAGTTGTTTTTGTGGGCATTTTTCGTAAATAATGCACGTTTGGATTGATCATGATCAAAAGCATTCAGTGGTAGGTATTAACCCACTAAACCAATATCAAAATGGCGGGTAATAAAAAGGAATATTTGATTACACAAAGAAATGCTAAGTTTAGGATAATTTTTGATGATAACACAGAGATATTAATAAAAACCCAAAATTGAACATGACATAACCGCAGTTTACACATTTGCACAGATGGATATTATATCATTATGTAGAATGTCAAAATCAAAGATATGGGTTAGTATGAATCATGAACTCATTGAGAACAAACGTTTTTCTGTTTTTAGTTTTAGTTCTGCAAGATGTTTTCAGTTTAAACAATTTTAGAAGTAATTTTGAAAATGCAAAATTAAGTTTCATAGATAACCAAGATTTTGACCAAAATCTAAGCGTTGAAAACATAACCACAAGTAAAACGCAAACCAATGGCTCTTATAACTTCAAAGCAATTGGAGTATCTTTGATAGTACAAGTACCTCTCTCGAAACAAAGTACCCGACATCATCTCATCGATAAGAGGTATCTATATTAAATTTGTGCATTATTATATTATGTATAAGCTATAATTTTAGGCATAAACTAATAGATAACGAAGTGAAACTTAACTATCCACTTATGGATTGCTTTAAATTGATGTTTAATCTAAAACTTAACTACAAATATGATTATTGTCATTATACTGATGACTTTAAAATGATTACAACACAAATACTACAAATGAGGTCATAAACATTAAATATCCAAATGATAAAGCCGCCATCTTGGAAAGTTGTGTGTTAAGCAGCCTACTTACTGATTCAATTGATATTTCTTTGTTACCAGTATTAATAACACCTGAAAATATAAAAGATCTCGATTTTCCTGGTTTATCATCTGTAGTGAAAACAAAATTCATTTTTGAGAGACCAAAGTTAACGGTTATTACAAATGTTTATACATTGCCATTTACAAGAGGAGTTTGGTTGGCGGCTCTCGGACTTATTGGACTTATAATATTGTTTTTGTATGTACTTACCAAGTGGCAAGGGCATAAATATGATTCCCATGATCAATTATTCAAAAATGTTGGTAACAATGATGGCACAGAAAGAAATATGGCGGAAATTCCACATTCTATATTGGAAGTTGCTTTCCTGGCAATCAGTGCCATTAGTCAACAAGGACCCGAAAAGGAACCCATTGGTATGCATGGGAAAACAGTGACGTGGTTTCTGTTTCTTGCGTTTATGTTTCTCTATGCAGCGTATTCAGCAAGTATTTTTGCTTTATTGCAAGCAACAAGTTCCGAAATCCAGAGTATTGAAGATTTATTGAAGAGTCCTTTGCATGTTGGCTTCCATGACAGCAGTTTCATGCGACGAATTATTCCTGTAAGTATTTGTTTGTTTCCTTCTTTCTATGGTTTGCCATTTTGTCACATTTGTAGAATATAATTGGCGATGAGAGACTACAAATTCTCGAAAAATCAGGCATTAATAAGATGAACAATTTTGACTTTTCGAAATTTATCTCAAGAAATGACGGAATAAAAAGAGTACAAACAGAATTGTTTGCTTTTCATATTGAAACACACATAGGATACACCTTAATAGGTATAAAAATAAAACCTAAAAACGTAATTGAAATTTTAATCATGTTAATACTGATTTTTTATGTCTAGAAGAAACATTTGAAGAAGTAGAAAAATGTAACCTAGAAGAAATCCAATTTCTACAGTTTCCAACCGATTTGTACTTTGCAATCAAAAAGAAATCGCCGTTATTTGAAATGTTTAAAATTGGTTTCCTGATTTTAAGAGAACGTGGCATTCATCATCGTGAATCTACCTTGCTGCACACCCCTAAACCTAGATGCTGGACATTAGACCGCAACTTTGACAGTGTTGGAATCCTCGACTGTTATTTTGCCCTAACACTATTTGCAGGCGGTGTAATATTATCACTTATAATACTTTTAATTGAATTAGTTATGGCTAAAATTAAACTGTAAGTTTGGTTATGTTATTAAGGATGGTTGAAGGTTATGTGCTGGGATTTTCGAAAACAAAATTTATTTACCAACAAAGTTTCATATAAAGGAATAACATCTAAAAGTAGAGACACCCCTGAAATTTTGTATAAAAACATTGCTTAATATGATGTAAAGATTTTCATAGCCTAAAACAGTTTAGTTGAATGTTGATATAAATATGACTAGAGTTAATAATGATGTGACTAGTGCTAAAAATTGATGGTTGGAGTTTATGTTATACCAAGCCGTTCGAGGTCCATAAGTGGTTTGAGCGGGCGCGCTGCCCAGTACTTCTGACTCTTTAGAGCTAAGCTTTGATTTTGTATTTTCTCTAACTCGATAATCATCGGATACACCCTCTGCTCGACCCATTCCATGATAGTAAAGTTATCGAATATGTTCTGCATTGAATCTATTGCTGATCTTGCAACTGAAATAGCTCCATGATGCATTCGTGGCAAATCAGCGGTTAATTCTTCAACTCTCAAAGGTAAACTATAGTTGCGACGAACATTGTAATCTGTCATCCAGCCTTTATTCTTTGTCGTAGATCTGATATAATCATTGACTTCGTTCTCGGTTGAGTATAGGCGATATGTAACGCGGAAGAACGGACTGCCGGGAAACATGCACCTTCCCAGTTTGTCCCATAGATGTGGGTCGATGTCAAGGTTAATAAACGGTGTATTGCGGCCATATTGTGGACAAGATAACGCTGACATCAGTGCAGCTTTATGAGACGCATTGAAATAACCATTTGATACGGCTAATAACGATAACGCTAGACTCGGAATTGCCGCTGGTAGCAATTCGCATAAAACAGCGAAATGATCATAGCGCTGCCAGCCAGTGAGGACAACTCCTTGAAAGCCGTTTTTAAAGTATCTGCCTTGCTGGGACATTACGTCTAGCCAGCGGAGATTATTTTCAAGATGGCGACGCGCATCTGGCACATAAAGCGTCTCTCCAAAAGCGCCTTTAAACGCAGATGCAGTCCAAGCCGTAGAAAATACCGCCGAATACTTTTCCCAGATTTGCGGTTGTACAAATCGATAGATATCTTCAGCATAAACCCATATCATTGGTTCCACTAAAAGACCGAGTTGTATATCAAGCATACTCTGGGTACTAAGATGGCGCAACATATCATCCCAGATAATCAATCGAATCGAAGGATGTCGCTCGTGGACTAAATTAGCTACGTTTTGAATATGACGCAGGAATAGAGTATCGTGAAGTTCCAAACGGCAGAGTTCACACTCGCCCATCTGGTAAACTTCATCGCAGCCGATGTGTAAGTATTTTGAAGTTGGGTGCAAATCAAGTACCTGATTGACAACTTCTGATATGAAGTCCATCGAGCCATTTCTACTGGGACACAGTGACTGTGGACTATTAGCAACTTCTCTGATATTAGCAAACTCCTTATGTTTTAAGGCAAATTCAACATGGCCGAATGTCTGCACCAATGGGATAACATCCAGCTTTAATGCGGTGGTATGTTCCAGAAAATCTTTGATTTCCGCACGTGTATACGCATTTTTTGCAGCTATATGTTTGAGAGGTCCTTGGAATGGAAACATATCTTCATATTCTACAATTAAAATAATTTTATTAATAAAAATCAAATTAAAGTAAAATACTTACCTAGAAGTATTCCAGTAGCACCTAAGTTCTTAACCAAACTTAAGACCTTCTTAAGGTAACCAATTCTGGGCGGAGCACCTTTCAGATCAAAGTGAACTAGTCTTGATTTAGGAATATATGGATTGTGTGGGTCTAAGTTAACGTATGGTACACCCAACTGGCGTTCACTCTCCCGATCTCTATCCGCGTCGTGATCCTTGAACTTCCCATCCTTGACCCGCAGATTGGACCCATCTAAAGCTTCACGTTTTACTTCCCCAGAGGACCCCGAAGATTTTGTGGCTTCCAAAGCGTCACGAGTTTGTCGTTGGACTCTATACGAATATTGCAAACCCAATAGTAGTGTTATCACTAGTAGAGATGCTGCCAGGACAGATGATTTCTTCCTCCAGAGGGTGAGTAGTAGACGATGCATGTAGTTATTCATATTTCTCACTGGTTCACTTCATTTTTCCTCTCTCAATTGAACTCTTCAACTCTTATTATGCACGTCCGGCGTTTGCGAGTTGAATGAATTAAACTATTAATAGACGAGACGCGCAGTGCAGTTCGTGCCACAGACGACAGACGACGATCGGCCAACAAAACAACTCTCACACATAAAATTACGTGAGGAGCGTTCACTCTTCACGAAACCGTTCTTCTCACTTTCTATTCGGATGATTACGACGCCAATTTTACATTTGCATGTCGATGGCCGATGTCGGTTCGGTCGTCTGGGCGGCGCGAATACTACGCGCACACAAACAAAAACAACCCCAACTCACCCTTCGTAATATATCGGTTTTTAGCACCCGGCGGTGTGCAACGCATGCGCTATCCTACCCCGCACAAAAATAGACGGTTAACAGACAGGATATCAAACAATTGAGCGTTGTGGAAAGACGTCGAGACACTTTTTTGCCTCAACTTCTTATACTTACTTGAACTTATATTTATATTGTAGATATATATAGCTATGACCACAGGTGAATAATCTAGGTACTGTGGGTACGCAAGTATAAAAGTATTGATTTTGAATGTTCACCTCGGGAAATGCATTTTTAAATGCGCTCATTCGTTGTGTTCGTTGAGCCATGTGGCAGTAGATAAAATATGGCCGATCTCGTTGGGGACCAGACCCAAAGGATGGTTATCCGTGTAAATGTTCATACTGATAAAAATAAAATTTTTATCATCCGTCATTTTGTATTGATCTATTATTCTTACCTAGCAGTGATATTATTGGCTTTCAAGCGATGAAAGTAATCCATTCCTTGGAATGGCGGCACCCTGAGATCCTTCGTACCAATTTGCAGTAAAGTGGGTGCTTTAACCTTATGTGCATGCACAATTGGCGACTTGGCTCGCATAGCCAATAGAATATCGTCTCTAATTGGACCGACCTGGGAATATTCAAACCCAGCCTCCACATAACACCAATCGGGAATATCGCTAGCCCCCGACATGGTAGAAATATCCGTGACGGGATTCCGTGCGACCACAGCGCGCCACATGTCTGGATATTGTCCACTTAAGTGAGTGACCAAAAATCCACCATGAGAACCGCCCACTAAGGATATACGTTTGGAGTTTAACCATGGGAAGGTTTTCAGGGCGGTGTTTGTGGCTAGGACGCAATCAGCAACGTCAGTTTCGCCGCATTTCCCGGGAAGAAAAGCTAGAGATTTTTGACCAGCGCCGATTGATCCACGATAGTTAACAAATACAACGGCATATCCTAAATAAGTCATAATATAAAAAATAATATGTTACGTTTGTATCATTTGTTATCTTACCGATTGATAAGAGAAAAGCATTTTCTAAAGTTAAGGCATTGACTGACGCGCTGTGTGGACCACCATGAGGGAATATAACCAATGGAATACTAGCATCTTCAGCAGATTTTGGTCCAATATAAATTGCAGTAAAGTTATCTATAATTAAGAACTTGTTATTGACCTCTTGATAAAGGCAGGACAACAAAAACTAACCAACTTCGTCGTTGTTTGCATGTGATAAATCCATATACTCAAATTTCTTATCCTTTAATGAGTCTGGAACATTGGTGACTGATACTTGTTCTAAACTCATAGTGTTTTCCTGCCCAGATGCTGGTAACACTCCTTTAAGTAAAACATCCTGTTGGAAGAAATTCCTGCGGTTGATGAGAACATTATCGTCAAAAACGTCCAAAACAATTTGGCTGCCATCTTCACACTCAAACTCGGACAACTTCCCAGAATCTAATTTGAATAAAGTAATATTATTCTCAATATATACATTTAAATTGATGTTTTTATAAGTTACCTAAGTCAAGAACATAAGCAGTAATAGCGTTCTTTCTAAATGTAGAAAATAACAATCTGCCATCATTGGACCAACATCTTTCAGGTATTGAGGTGCTAAATAATCCATAAAACAATCTTCCACCACTAATCTCTTTGGCCACATCGACAGAATCAAGAATAAGTTGAGGTTCAGTCTACGAATTCACTCGATAAATACAAATTGTTGACAGTAAAAAATAAATTTTACTTCATCAGTTAATGGTAATTTTGCTTTATACAATTGCATGCAGTTGATATGTGGACCACCAGCATCACATTGCAACCAGATGATATGCTCGCCATTTGGTGTCAACCTCGGTCCCTTGACAGTTTTGTTCATCAATTTACCAAACTCCTCTGCATAATACAAATTTTTACTAAGAAATATTTACAATGAATGAAAATAATTACTGTATGTATTATTCAGGGTCAATGTAAACAAGCCACTAGGCCTATTTCCACAATAAATCAACCCCAATTTGCGTGGTTCGGTATGCAGACAAATCCCAATGATTTGTGTACCATCAGCAGTCCAAAATGGCTTCGCAACGCAAACATTATCAGGTATTCCTTCAGGAATCGTGAATTCGTCTGTTTCCACATCATAAACAACAACAATCGACGAGATTTTATCGACAAGAGCTTCACCCCAGTCTTGTCTATAGGTTTCAATCTAAATTATAACATAAATGGTTTTTTGGATGGAATGATGTGATTGTTATCTCACCTCAATTATGTCCTTTTCAACATCATCTTCATCAGTGGTGTCAGAGTCTTTTTTGGGCTTCAGGCGTTTGTGTAACGGATCAATCTTGGGCACTCTTTTCTCAGCAACATACAAAATCTTACCACCAACTGGAGACCACTTAAAACTTCCAAATTCATCTAAAACATAATTGAAAATAAAATATTTTTGTTGTTGTGATAATTATATTACCATCTGTGTAAACTTTGGCATGTAAATCCAAAGCAGTTAAGTCAACTGATCGAATCAGAGATGTTTCATTCCAGATTTCAAGATATTGAGCTGATTCTTTTTGATCTTTTTGTTCAACATCTCTCAAAACAGCTTGGAATTTTTTGCATGGTGAGACAGCATGCATGGATCTAAACAAATTCTAGTAATTCATAATTATTACAATATTGCTACAGAACTTACTGATTAGTTGTGTCTATAGGAGGTAACGAAGTCCATTTTTTAGTGTCACCAGACACATAAGTTGTTTGAAACTTGATGCTTCTTCCTTGTTCAAGATTTCTTTCAGACCATGTGGTATTTATAATCTTCTCATTGAGATATCTAGCTTTTACTAAGGCAGGAACTTGAGCAAGACATTTGTAAGTCTTTAGAAGAACTTCACTCTGAAATTAAAGTATATGTAAATAGTTATATCTCCAAGAAGCAAACCTGACTATACCTTGTTGGGCATTGTGTAGCTCGAAACAAAGTTTAACTAGAGTTTAATGCAGTAAAGGCACTCAGATGTATTTATTCGACTGTTATCTAAAACTGACAAGGTGATAGCGGTTTAAAATAAAATATGTAAACAAATGAAAAACACCGACAGCCACAGGCGCCGAGATATTGAGCTCAAGTGAGGCTCACGAACCTCACCACAACTAAACATAATCGCGGTTCCCCGCCGCTGCGCCAGCTGATGTTTTGTTAGGACTTTATACAGAGTCGTGGGAACGTGAAATGGTTATCAAGTGCAATCAAATTTCGTACACATTTTGAAACATGGGAAAATTACCTATGTAGTTCCATCTTAACGTAATCATGTTTGATATTCATGGCGAATTGACGCCCCTAGAAACATTTAAGTGTTCTAATCAAGTACACTGTATAAAGTTATTTTAATTCCTTTCGTATTTGCGCGGGTGTAATATTTCAACTGATTATTTAATCTGTACACTCAGGAATGAATTTCTTACGCGGTTTAAATTCTTATAAACAATAAGCAAACAAATGAGTTGGAAATGAACGCCCCACATGTTTGGAATAAATATTAAATTATTAAAAAAAATCGGCGCGAAAAAAGTTACTTGTTTACAATGTTTGTTTGCAAATGCAGGTTTTATTATAATTGGAATTTTTCAATTCTAATTTCGGATCTAAAAGGAGGAAAAGTGTAAACATGATTTTGAATACTTTATCTTAATAACATTTTGTTATTAGACTGATAGAGTAGTAATTACCCTTTATAGATAACTATTTATCATTTCTAAATATGTGTCAATAGGATTCTCGGTTAAATACAGAAGGAAAGTAATAAGAAAAATATTACTTTATTCAGGCACTTTATGGCATTTTTTGTGGGTATAAAGTGAAGAAAAAAATCGGTAATTATAAGTAATTTCAATTTACTCTTAATGTCAATGTCGGTCATTATTTTTATGTATTGTCAGGAAATCAATAATATTGTCTAATTAACTAATGAAAATTTTCAACAATATCTACCTAAATTCATATCATTTCTGCATTACTCTTACTCGCATACAATGACCAATACGTTTCTGAAAATTGCCGAGGTTCTTGACATACTGCCATGTGAATTTTACAACAAGTACAGAAAATGGCACATTCTACATACAACATTTACGATTGTTTCAAGTCTATACGTCTTAATATACGTATTGTATACAACATATTTGGTTATGAATGTATATCAAAATCTAATTTTACTATTCAACACGTCTGCGACTGTGTTAATAATAATTGTTGCATTCAACACCCTGCTGCAAAACTTGTGGCTAAAATCTAAGAAACTGCAGGATATGCGGAAGCATTTTAAAGAATTTGATGCATTACTGCCAGTGCATTGTCGACAATATGTGAAGAAATACACAACATTGCAAGCAATATTATTTTATGGATCATATATGTGCAGTTCAGTTGCATTACACTGGATTCTGGGTAGATTACCTACTGTAACAAGTATTATAGAAGACATTATGTTCATGTATTTTGCATGTATGATGTCGACAATATGGAGCTTTCTTGAAACAGTAAGAAATCAAACAAAGAATCGGAACTACTTTATTAAATCTATTTTCAACAATATTTATGCAGTTAAAGTTAAAACAATACAAAATATAAATTTTGGTCAAAACATAGAAACGTGTACTAAAATGATATTGTTAAATTCTAAAGTTACATATTCCATTAATGAAATATTTGGTTTCAACATTTTCGTATTAACTATCAACTCACTGCTACAATTGTTGCTCATTTTAAAGCTATACATACAAGTTTTTAAATATCTTTATTTGATTGCTCTTTTCCATTGTCTTTACATGCTGGTAAGTTGAATTTATAATTGAAATTTAAAATGTTTCAACAACTACTCATTATTTTAGTGTCAAGTTATATATATAATCAAATTATCTCAAGAAATAGCGAATGAAAACAAAAATACAACGCAATTGGCTTACGAAGTAATGCCCAACATGTCAAACGAGGTAGAAATATCTCAGTGGCACGACTTTATAAAACAAACAGAAATTCTACGTCCAGTTTTAACAGCAGATGGATATTTCAATCTGGATTATGATCTTTTGTTTAAAATGCTACAGTTGCTCATAACTTATGTTGTAGTATTGATTCAAATGAAATAATTCTGTTTAAAATTTGTTTATTTCTGCTGATTACAAACATTTCCAAATCTAGCACACTGTCTTTGCGTTGAAGCAGTAAATATTTCAATGCTATGCAAATTATAAATTCACCACATAAATTGCTGACATGCGCCTAATATTATTTCTTACAATCTAAACAAATTTCGTCGCGTGTGTTGGCATTTGATGGCATCGTCGTTCAAATCATTATTAACACTCCCTAAATGCGTTAATTATGCATCTAAAACTGTGCATATTCCTCCTCGTCGCATATTCACCGATGCTGATCTCATCAGAGGAGAGCCAATTTTCAATTAACAACAACAAAGCCATCCAATACGTCAATGAGAAGTTTATCAGTTTTTCCGTGGACCCAGCCGTGTTCTTCTCCCGCCTGCCACACAGGTAAGCTTAATCCGATCATATTATTCGCTTCGGACATTGTCCCCACGTGTGTGTGTACCGTGCAGGGATATCCTCTTCAAATTAATTACGCATCTGTCGCCGGCATATCTGCGCGTGGCCGGCTCGTCCACGCAGTTTTTGGAGTTCAGCGCCGACGAGCGCAAAGCGACGAAGATAATTAGCGATGACTCTACCACGCTCACGTTCAGCCCGGCGATGTGGTGGTCGCTGAATGAGTGGATGCAGAAAACTAATTTCACGCCGATTTTCGGCATCAACGATGACGCGTACAGCTCCGGCGAAAAATGGGACCCGAAGCGGGTTTTACCACTTTTGGACATGACTGCCAGGATGAACATTAATTGTTGGTGGCAGATAGGATTTGGTAATTCAATCTCAATCAACTAACGCCTGCATATTGCAAATGTTATTTTGTGAATGTTGCAGATTGTAGTCAAAAGGGATTTGAGAGATACAAAGAGGATTTAAAGACTTTCCGAAAGATTTTAGATGCTTTCCCAGCGAAAAAGGATAAGTGGCAGATAGTTGGAAGCGATTTGAGTAAGTGCACTCCATCGGATCACCCGGAGATTCTCCGGATGTACTTGGCCGACTTGGACGACGCCGATACCATCGTCTGGGAAGAGTAAGCAAAATTTTAAAATCCTTGAATATAGCACTACAGATCATTTTACCTTTTTAGAGATGAAAGTATTATATCCAACTTTCTGAGCGGAGGAGTTATGGAAACCATGTTAGGTTTTCATCAGGCTACTGTCCCAATATGGTTGTCCACTCCTAAAAGTCAACATCCCATTGGGTTCGAAGATGGCATCAACTGGGCTGTAGAAATTGGTGAAGCTGCCCGAAAAGGTTTTTCTGTTATTTTCCGAGAACCACGCCTGCAGGAGTATTATTCAGCTACACCAGTAAGTAGTCGCCATGTCATTCTCAAACACCATCTTTGTTTATAACTCGTTCTAGGCTTACTGGGTGACAGTTCTTCACAAATCCTTAATGGGTCGTAATGTTTTGGATGTTAAATCAACATCGCTGACTCAATCCACCGCTAGGATCTACGCACATTGTGCTAGAGATCAAAACAGTTTCTCTGTTCGTGGTGCACTTACCATTATGATAGTTAACAATGGAACTGAAGCTCACAAAGCTGCTTTTCGCATTCCAACGCAACTTAAAAGCGTCGAAGTGAGGTCCTATACACTAACATCATCAGAAAATACCACGTATGTTGAGTTAAGTTTTATAATGATGTGTTTTGATTATTTTAAATGTATTTAATAGGGACACTTACTTAAACAACGAAAAACTTTCCTTGGATAACTTCAAACTGCTTCCGAAACTGCGACGCGCAAAGGTTTTGACTCATTTGATACTCACCGCACCCGCCAAGTCGATTTCGTTCTTCGTGCTTCCTGGCGCAAAAATTCCAATTTGCATCGACAACGAAGACGACACCGCCATGATCCTAGAGGAAATTGATCGTATCCAAGCAGTAGATTTTACCGACAGCGGAAAATCCGCCGAAGGATTGCTAAGCAGATTGAATGCGCCGCGCGTTTCCGTTTCGCTCGCTGACTTACATCGCAAGCTGCAGGAAGAGTTTAAGACCGACGCGTCATTGGTTCCGAAATTAAAACTCAAATCACACTTACCCACAGAAGACTGGAAGCAGTTGTCGGGGAAAATCGCCCAGAAGATAGAACCAAATAGTATAACACCAATGCCAGGAATGCATGGAATTAAACATTTTAACTTCCTGCTAGATAAAACTAAATCTGATGTAAAAGCTGTGAAAAATCTCGATTTCAAAAACTTGCTTAAAAAAGACAACGAAAGAAAAGATGATATTCTCGGGAGTGCACTAAAACCAAACTCGGAATTGAAAACACATTCGAAACCGACTGATTTAGATCTAAACTTGAACAGTGCAGAAGTATTCAAGATTCTAGGCGATAGAGCTAAAGCCAAACTAGAGAAAAAAATGGGTTTCACTGAGTTTGAGTTTGATTTAGATGGTATGCTGGAAAAGGCGTTAAAAGGCAAGTTTAGGCGTGATATCAACATGCGATTATTAGACGAAAAAGTGCACGACCAAGAACTGAAAGAACATAAATCGTTATTGCCGTCATTAATAAAGAAAAAGAAGAAGCCAGATACTGCAGCAGACTCTACAGAAATTGAAGGACTTCCAGATATGACCAAAATTATACCTGGTTTTGAGAAACCCAAAGCAAAATCATCATCCATTTCCGAAACATCTATTTTTGGCAATAAAGCATTACCAAAACTGGATTTGTTTGGTGGTATGGAAAAACTAGACTTGCAGTCATTGCTATCGTTGTTGGGAAGTAAAGCAACAACAGAACAACCAACAACTTCTACAAATAAACCACGCAAAGTTGAATTCATAAAGAAACCGGATCTTTATGATAAACATGATTTTGAACGGCAGTTTCATGTACTAGAAGATGATTTGAACGGTGGGTCATTTTTTGACCATTTCGGAGATTCTATTAGTGTACATCCCAAAAAATCGGAAGAGAATAAGAAGCTAAGATCCGGTTGGGATTTTGATGACACAGAGTTTGTTATTCATGATGTAAGTGATTTTAATTTAAACAAAAACCAAATAATATTGTTAAATTATTTTTTTTAGGATGATGTCTCTGGTGCAATCGAACGATTGGAAAACTACTTCAACCACAACCCTAACATAAGAACAAATGAATATTTCGAACCAGCATTCGATTCATTCGAAAATTTCGGACGTTTCAAACGTGGAATACGAGACTTTATCCATCGAATGAGGCAGCCTAATAACGGACGTAGTTTTCTACGGAACAATCCCCTCAATATCTTCAGACGTCCAAGGGAAACCAGAGATCAAATAGATGAAACCCCACACCAACCTAATAAGATTATAAAAGAATACCAACCAAAGATGACTTTGCACGACTGGCGTCCGGAAGATATGCTGAAATTACCACAGTTGCACTCTACATACCAGGTCGACGAACACGACAATCAGATCTCATTCAAGGACATCCCACGAAGTCGCTCCTCGTTTGGTTTAGAAAACGCCGAGCGAATCAATATCCGTAAAGCGCGTCGCGTTGCCGGCGAGATCGACTCCGTCGAGAACGCCATCGACGGCTTCTTCAACACCATCGAAACGGGTACGAAATTCATCAAACCACTACTTGATAAGGAAGGCGAGTACACGATCGTTTTGCCAACGCGCGAGAAACTATCACTCATGCATGAGGCGAACGGCGACACTGAGCTCGTGCTGCATCGTGACGCAGCGCGAATGAGTGTACAGACGGAACAACTCGAAAACAAAGATAATCAGGTCGATGATAGCACGTGCCCGGCAACCGATCTCTACCCGGAGGAGACACTAAAGAATGCGTTCGAGCATGCCAAGCATGACGCTTCCACTAACGATGGCAATGGTAAGATTACCCCCAAGAAGACAGATGATGTGCAAGACGTTGGCGAGAAACGCGTGAATCGCAGCGAGTACGTGCAGAAGATCCCTCTCAAGTCCAAGAAATCGAAGCAGGAGCAAGAGCAGGAAACAAGTGATTATAAGTACAATTTGGGCTTCGTGACAAAGATAGTGAATAGTTTCAGTCGGTTTATGAAAAAACTCCACAGCAAAATGGACTCCATCTTCAGCGCTGTGGAATAATCACGTCCGGTTTATACAATTGAATCTTTTTCTATGTTTAGATATATTATTTTTACGACGTTTTATTTGCACGGTCAATATTATGCTATATTCAGAAGAATAAATATGTGACAATCCACTTAGCCTCTAAGACGCACAACAAATACCAATAAAAATGGCATAAAGCGGGTTTCACTTAGCGCGGTTCTTCATTGTTACGTGCGATGCATTACGATCCGTAACCCTAATGCTCTGATTTATTGTCGATAAAACGGTGACCAGCGCGCGGCTTAGCGAAGGATTAATGGAGGCGAGAGACGAGGATCTTTTGTATTGGAGATTAACCATCGAAAACCCTCGCACTATTAGGCTCCAAAACAACGCTTGCATAAATTCAGATAAACCTGATTGGAAAACAAACGCAGGACCACAATAAATTATTATATAATCAACAAGAAATAAATTACACGCATTTTTGAAACTGTAATCTTCTTTATTATCTCTCATGTTTCCGCATTGTGTCATAATATCATTTAGCGTTGTCTTAGGTGTCACACAACTAACAACAAGTTTTATTCGCTAAATAAACGCTAGCAAATATCGTGGTACATGTTTGTGTTCTGTATCAACTATTACCATCCTCGTAATTATTATTCTGTGTTATTTTCATATGTCATTTACCAGTATCCTTCATTTTTTGGTTTGGTTTGCTTTTGTTCGGTATCATATTCATCATCATCTTGTTTGTCATTTAGCTTATACTTATTTATTATATAACAACGTGAACAGCCGTAACTATAACTAGAGGTACTCTGGCAAACTACAACATGTTTGTCTCACTGCGTCAATGAAACAAGTTTTTTTCTTTTTTTGTCATCATTTTCATTTACTGGTAATAATAAGTGTATAAATACAAAAGGCTGCCTACATTCGGTCGTCCTTCGCCTCCCTAACATTTTTACAAAAATTTCATTTCATCATTTCATCAGTTGTTTGTTTCCAGATAGTTTTGAGTGAGTGTTTAGTACAAATACAGATTTATTTAGATATTTCACTTGGTAGATTTTGTGTTGCTATTGAGAGCCATAGCGAAACGACGACCGAACAGAACTAAACATTTTTTTTATTCCTGAATTAACAACAATATCTACAATACAATATACCTTACGCATATATTGTATGTGTATATCATATATACTGCGATTATCAATTGTTTTAACAATACAACATTATTCATTTTCATGTTTTTTGGTTGCTTAATTTTTATAACGATGGGTAGTACTTCAATCATTTCGTTTCTTACTCTCTCGTTTTTCGCTCGTCTGGTTTTCCACGCGCTTTACGCAAATCAAAGTGGTTTTTATTTTTTCTCCTATCACAAGCTCATTCCATCGTCATCCAGTACGTCTCACAGCAGCGCATTGTGTAGATACGAAAGCAGAAGCATCCATTACTTTATTTTGTGTGTTAGTTTTTGAAATTTACGTTTCGGTTGAATTTTGCGATGATCTAAGGCCGAATTTGCATCGTTACGTACGTCATTTCTCAAAGCTCATTCGCACTCTGCGTTATACACACACATAATACAAGGAGGAATGATTTCATTACGGAATGTTCTATATAATACACGCATTGTCGCATAAGATTTCTCATGTGTGTTTTTTAATAGGATGTAGTAGACTAAATTATGTTTATATAGTGTCGTTGTCTCCGTTGCAGTTATTTGCACGATTGGAAATTCAAATTCAAACCGAAACGATTACACAAATCGATAAATATTCGAAATACATACATTCCCAAAATCAACAACAATTAGTTAACATAACATTCTCAAAGTTGCTTAAAATTTTGTTCGTTTCGATCGTTTTTTTGTTTGGTTTCTCATAATAATTATAATAAGTATCACACACTATAAGACTACATTGCTTATTATTTTCTCCACATTGAGGTGATAACAATAAAAATATGCCGTCCCGTGCCACCCGCCATTACTTTACAAATGACGCATTGCACGGAAACCGGCCGTTGAATATTATATTTGTTTTTGGTGCTTATCCTAGTAGGTAATATTCGTGTTTACATCATTGTTTGCATTGTTACTTGCACTTGCATTGCACGTTCGGCAATCGTAAATGTTTTGTATTTTTTGTTTTTGTTTGTTAATGAGAACGTGGCAAATCAAAACCGAAATTAAAATCGCGCGCGTGTCATAATCGAAACGTTTCAGCTTGTTGTGTGTTGATTTGTTTTTACAGTTGTTGATGTTCTTGTTGTTGTAGTTGTTGTTTTGTATTAAACATTTGTTTTCTCATCACCCAAATTCCATGTTAATTCCAAGTTTGCTTGTTTTGTTAATGTGAATAATTTACATCTATTTTTTCTTCAAAGAACGCATCGAGTGTGTGTTTTGAGTTTGGTTATGTTTTGCGTTTTTGCCAAAAAGACTCCTGCTGTACAATAATACGTTACGTAATAGGTTACGTGATGAGCAACGACACCGATATAAGAGATAAATAGATAATTAGTGTTTCACGTTTTAAAATACATCGACACTACTTATACTTTCCATCTAGCTACATTTTTTCTCGTTTAGATAGACAAAGACATAGATATACATACTATACATACGCTAATAGAAATAGAGAGAGAGATAATGATATATGCGTTGCATTTGTTTGCATTTTGTTTTCGTTTCGTTTTGCTTCAGTTTCAGATGTTGTTGGTTTAGAGGCAAGGTTAAGTTGAGTTGGTTTTGTTTGGTATTTAAGGTTATAAGATTTTAGCTATGGTTTCTGATAACGTGTTAAATTTACATTCGCTTTTCTTTAAATAGGTTAATCTCTTAATTTGTCTCATTATTATTCTTTTAATTGACACACATATTATAGATAGATATAAGTTTCGTAGAGATAGATGAAATCAATAAAATTTTTAAGTTTGCAAACGTAATAATCCGTAAAAGCGGAGATAGTGATTAGGTTAAGAAAACCTAACCTAAAATAATAATATCCTAGAAGGGATTCAAGAGAGAATCGAGATTAAACTTAATTTTAGTGCATGTGAAAATTGCTGTGCATTGTAAAAAGCTTTGAAACGAAAGGAAACAGTGCTTGAAAATATAACTCATTAATTTTTTGTTTTTTAAGTTACATTTCCGCAGTAGTCCACGATCCATCCGACACGTCGCTTATTGTTATAGTTCTTTACTTTACTTTTTACTTGTTTATTATCGCGTTAGTATTTTCCCTATTAAATTACGTTGTTGGTCGATCGTCGAATTTTCGCAAGACGCACGAGAAGATAGTGTAGAGATAGAGAGAGACAGAGCAGTAAAGACACATTTACACATAGTTCTGATTCTGGTATTGCAGCAAAGATGTTCGTTACGTTTAAAGAGAACGACAATGAACAACAAACAATATATATATAACATCCGTCTGTCGTTTGTTTCCTGTGTGCAGAGATACGTAGACAAGAATTTCCATTGCACAACATCGATACAGGTTTCGGCAAAGGAGAGCACCACGTCTGGGGGCGCGGTGTCTTGGGTAGAAACTTTGAGTTACTGAGTGAGCCCAAGACGTCATGCCCGAAGACGTGTAGATTTAAGTTCAACATCGAAGGCAGTTTAGTTTAACAGTTAGTTATAGGAATTTGGATGACTATCGGGCATTTACTTCGAAACCGAGGAGAACCGAACATTCAGGAATCGAACGCGAAGCGCATGCGCGCTAGCGCATCATCGTGTGTGTCGAGTGTGAGGTTAGGTATTGTGTGAGTAAGTGTTAAACATTCCATCCGACAACAAAAAACTCTCGTCCTGGCTGTTCGACAGTGTGAAGTAACATTTTCATCATCATCATCATCATCATCATCGTTATTACGTTCCGCTCATGTTCAATTTCATACTGGTCTCTTGGTATAAACAAAACCAAATAACTAAATGTTATATACAACAATCGGTTTGTCAATACGCTTAACAATTTGTTTACAAGCTACATGTGTTCGTATCCTTTCATGATTCTCTTTTTCTTTGAATATTTGTTAATTGTTTATCGCAGTCTCTTTAAATGAATGAATCAAAGGTGTGTTGAAATCAGCATTGCTGTTGATGTTGAATGCGGTTGTTGTTGTTGTTGTTTGGCAGTCTGCTGCGCGACATGGTTCACCATCAATCCATCAAGGGACAAACATTGGTTGCATTCGAAAACGAATCGACACTGCGCACGCGTTTCAGTAGTACCTTCTTAAACAGAATCGTCGACTATCCGTGTTCACATTTTTATAAAAATATTAAAATGATAACAAATCGAATCGATCACAGGTATGCTATATGTTTAGTTAGGTTTGCTTCGAAACTAGCCGCTCATCTCACCGCTAAAATCATGTCACTAGTGTCATCCTCTTCGTATGTGTCTGGTACCTTGACGCATCTTTAGCGATCTGTCGCTGATTTCTTTGGCATTTGAGTTTTTTGGTGAGTGTGTTACAATTTTATTAAATTTTTTCGTTTGTTGGTTTTGCATGCTTCTATGTGAATAAAAATGGGTATTAGCTGTTGTTAGTAAAGTTGGTTACTGGTGGTTGTTGTTGAGTAGTTGGTTGTTAGTCGAGGCCGCGCAGTTATTGCCGCATTTTACTGTGGATTGTGGATGTCCGCGAGTGCGCTCATTGCATTACGCATTTACTCTCTATCTGTGTCTTGATTTCGTTTACTTGTGTTTCTATCGTATTCTTCAGCTCTGAAACAACACCACACAAAAAACACATTTAAATATAGGAAACAAACACATCAAGAGCACACGCATACCAAAAACACAACACATACATCTTTCAAGACGGAGTAGTTGTGAAAAATTCCGCAGGTGACAAAAATCGCTATCAAAAGTTATAAGATTTCAGTCGATTGGCAAGCGATAAGACTTTTGTTATAGGTTAAGTTATTAGTAAAGTTAGGTTAAGATTCGCTACACATCTAAAGCTGAAATTTCGTTGAATGTTATTTATTGTCAAAAATTTAT